TGTGTGTCTGTGTCTGTCTGTGTGTCTGTGTGTCTGTCTGTGTCTGTGTGTCTGTGTGTGTGTGTCTGTGTGTGTGTGTGTGTCTGTGTGTGTGTGTGTGTGTCTGTGTGTGTGTCTGTGTGTGCGTGTGCGCTGACCCTGAGGAAACAGTCGAAGCGTCTCACGTCTCCGCTGACCTCTGACAGATACGACACGAAGCAGAATCCTTTCTCGTAGGTGAACAGGTTCATCAGCGTGCTCGGGTTCACACCTGCAACAGGTCACAGTGATGTCATCTCACCTGTGCGGGTGGACAGGTGTGTGTGTGTGTGTGTGTGGGTGGGGGGGTCACCTGACTCAAACTTGACCTGCAGCCTGCTCACGGGGTTGCTGTCTCCAAGGAGACGCAGCTGTCTGTGGAGGGCGTCCAATCGCACAACAGTCTCCAGGCAGGTGAACGGCTCACCTGAGGGCGACAGGTGACCCGAGGTGACCGACAGTACGAGGACTGAGGCTGAAGTTAAAGATCAATCAGCTGTTCGTGGCTTCAGCTTCAAACACGTAAAAACTGAAAACGTTTTAAAATCTCGCCAACAAACACGTAACTGAAACGGCGAACGCGGCGTTACCGTAGGCCTCCGTGGTGATCCTTCGCTGGGCGTACGTCGCCAGGCCTTCGCTCAGCCACATCTCCTCCCAGGTGGCGTTGGTGACGGCGTTGCCGAACCAGCCGTGGGCGATCTCGTGGATGACGTCGATCAGCAGGAACTCGCTGCTCTCCAGGATGGAGGCGATGATGAACGTGAGGCAGGGGTTCTCCATGGCGACGATGGGGAAGGAGGGAGGGAGGAAGACGATGTCGCACCTGAGGACGAGCCGCGTCAGCGCCGCCGAGGACGTTTTAAAGAACGTTTGGTCAGAAACTTAGAGGCTCACCTGCCCCACAGGTAAGGTCCAAACAGGTCCTCGGCGACGCCCAGCCAGCGCTCCACGCTGCCCCCTAGCTTCTTCACCGCGCAGGACAACAGGCAAGGCTCCGCCCACACACGACTCCTGAAAGAAGAAGAATTTTAATAACTCGAGCTCGGCGTGCTGCAGGCTTTAGACCAATCAGCTGATCTCAACGACTAAATGAAAACGTTCCCCAGACGCCGGGTGATGAGCTCGTCGTGTGACTCAGTGTGCTGACCCGGGGTGACCCCTGCTGGAGGCCTGGAGTGCCCCCCCCCCCGATGTTTGTTTGCCTTTTATCCAAACAAACTGTAACATGTTTCAAACTCGTCGGCAAATCAAAATATTTTAAAAAAACGTTATTTTACGCAGCGCGACCTCGGCCCGACGTCTACGTGCTGCAGCTCGCCGGCCACCAGCGCCACCAGGTAGGAGGGTACAGGAAACTCCATGGAGAACTGGAAGACGCGGTCCTGTTTGGAGTACGAACTCCGAGACGCACTCATGAGGACCGTCACGCCGTCCGGGACCTGCCGAGGAGGACGAGCAGAAACGGCGTGAGTGCGGGTGTTAAAGGAAACGCCTTCTGGCACCGCTCTGATGTTACCTGGGCTGCGTGTGACTCACCCGGACCGTGGCGGTGTATGTGCTCTTGACGGCGGGCGTGTCGAAGCAGGGGAAGAAGGAGCGGTTACACACCGAGTGACCCTGAGTGAAGACCAGAGGACGAAGCTGACCGCAGGTGAGCTCCGAGTCCAGCCACCAGATCTGCAGACACACACACACACGGGTCACGCCGTGGTCACCTTCAGCGTGCTCACGCTGTACAGACGCCGCGTCGTCTCCTTACCGCCGGCCCGTCCGTGGTGGTGTAGCGGACCGTGATCTGGACCGCCCGGCCTGGCTTCGCCGCCGCGGTCGGCAGGCTGATGCTGAGCGACGAGCCGTAGTCGGTGAACGGGTCCACGCGGTAGGTGAGGGACACGGGCTCCTGCTGCCCGGCGCCCGGCACCTTACAGTCTATGGAGTGGATCAATAAAGAAGGGTGGGAGTCCAGGATGAGGGAGCAGACCCCCGGCTGCACCGGGACCAGGTCCAGAACCAGCCAGCCGCTCATCTCCTTCACCGCAAAGTTCAGCCGCAGGTCCAGGTGGAAGTGACGCAGCTGGAAGCTCCTGAAGTTCGACGCGGATGCCACGTCCACCAGGGGGCAGCGTTCCAGACCCAGGCCCGCAGAGGGCCGGGCCAAGTCCCCGGAGCACCGGCCCCCGGAGTCCGGCAGGGATTTACGGCAGCAGCACAGCGAGGCGGGCGCCTGGTGGAGCTCTGCCATGGTGAGCTGAAGCTGGGACCAAACCTGCTTAGACCGGAACCAACTGCATGAGACACGAACAAGAACACACCTGTGAGGGTCAGGAACAGAAACCCCCCAGGCCCGCCTCAACGCCCAACACCCAGCACCGATGCCAACAGGACCCCAGTTTAACACAGAACCCCCAAAACTACCTTTAACTCAGTTTTAGTCCAATTAAAAAGCACAGGATCCAATCCTGACCACAGTAAACTGACACCCACCAGTGAACCCAGTACACAACTCAGGTACTAACCCAGTTTAACTCAGGACTCGATGCGCAGCCCAGTTTAGCCCAAATAAGTAACTTTAACACAACAAGAGGCTCTGCGTCAAAACTCCATTCAAAACCTCGTTAAAGAAACGTCTAATTTTACGCCTAACAGGACATTAAGCCCCCGGTGAAAACTCCTCCTGTGTGTCCCTGGATCCTCGATAAACCCAGAAGTTTGTATTTTTAAATCATTTTAACATTTTATAAACAGTTTAGGGCCAAATGAAAACTTTTAATCCACATCTAAACCCAGCTTCACTGGCCAGCCCCGCTCCACCCCATTCAAAACCTCAATAACACAATATTGAATTTAACAGTCAGTCCGCTGAAGACTGGAAATAAAGCAGAATAAAGGCTTCGCTGAGCGTCGCTGACCTTCTGCCTGCTTCTCTTAGGTTTAAGGAACTATTTGACGAGTCAACTTTGGCTCTTTGTCCATTTAAACAACATTTAATCAAACTCAGCAAACACTGACAGGCACTGTTTAACAGCCCTACTTGTTAAACCGGAGTTAAACTTCATATAAACAACAAGTTCAATTAAGTCAGAGACCCGAAAGAGCTCCGACAGCCGGGAGACTCTCGAAGCCCAGTTTAAAGCGCAGTTTTAGGGACTCGGAGGAGTTACAGTGGCGGCTAGCAGCGCTGGAAGTTAGCAGCTTTAGCTCGAAGTGAGTGAAAACAGCACCTTAAGGTCAGCGCGTTGAACTGACCTGGTTAGCAGAGCCGGCTAATCAGCGCATTAGCACGGCGCACTGTTGCGGCTTCACGGGGACACGTTTAAGTAAAATCCATCGGGACCGCACGGCGGAAGAACCAGGCGGACACCGGCTCCCCGGGAGAGCTCAGCCCGGCTCCCCGCCCGCAGTCCCGGACACCGAACCCGCGTCCTCCCGGAGGCTCGACGGAGGCTGGAGGTGAGCTGTGAGTCCAAGACCGAGTGGCCACACACGGACACAAAGAGGCAGAGGACACCGGCGGAGACCCGGGGGGCAGTCGAGGCTCCGCTCCGGACTAAACAGGAAGTAACAACAACGGGAAAAAAGTTTATGCAGGCCGATGAGTGGCGCTGTGGAGGCGGGTACACGGAGCGAGAGGGCGGCTCCGTCCAGTTACCTGTTCATCCACCCACCAATCAGTCTATGGATTCGCTCCACGATGCTCCGTGTGACACACGATCAACACGGGACTGCATGACGTGCAAAGTGTGCAAAAACTGCGACAAACAAAACAAAAACAGTGCAAAAGAAAAGTGCAACAATGACAGTGGGTTGAGCTATTAAGGTGTGTGTGTGTGTGTGTGTGTGTGTGTGTGTGTGTGTGTGTGTGTGTGTGCGTGCGTGTGAGTGGGGTGATCATGAGTATGGTGAATGAACCTGTTCCTCAGTCTGGCAGTGAGGGCCCGGATGCAGCAGGTGTGACAGGTGTCTGATGGAGGGAAGAGCGGCTCCAGTGA